AGGTGCCAGAGCTACTAGTCCTGGAGGTGCTAATGGTGCTGGAGTGCTGGAGCTGCTAGCACCTGGAGGTCCAGCTGGTGCTGGAGCTGCTAGCAGTGGAGGTGTTGGTGCTGCTGGTGTTGGAGGCGCTGGAGGTGCTGCCGTTGCTGGAGGCACTGGAGCTGGAGGTACTGGAGGTACTAGAGCTGCTATTCCTAGAGGTGCTCGTATTGAGGTGCTGGAGGTGCCGGAGCTGGTGGTGCTGCTGGTGCTGGAGGTGCTGGAGTTGCTGCTGGGGGTATTGGAGGTGCTGGAGGTGCTGGAGCTGCTGGTCCTAGAGGTGCGCGTACTAGAGGTGCTGGAGCTGCCGCAGCATGTGGTGTTGCTAGTGCTGGAGGTGCTGATGGCACTAGAGGTGCTGGAAGTAGTGCTGGTGCTAGAGGTGCTGGCGCTGCCGGAGCTCGTGGTGCTCCTTGCGCTGGAGGTGCTAATGGAGCTGCCGGTGCTGGAGGTGTTTGTGCTGTGGGTGCTGGAGGAGCTGGAGCTGCTGGTATTGCCCCGCGCCAACCGTTTTTCTACCCGCAGCCGCAATCGTCCCTGCCGCCGCCTGACTCGGTCCTTCGCCAGGTTCTTAGTCTCAAATCTTCCACTGACCTCACTCCGCATCTCCTGTGTCCATCGACATACCAGTCTCAGCCACAGCTACAACTTGGCTCCCCACTGCCTGCTCCTGCTCCTCACACTACGGTGACTGATTCCATGACTGAGCATCGTGAGCTTGAGACTCGTGCTTCCACACCTGTTCGTGCTCATCGTGTTGCCCGTCCTGGTCCTCTTGCTGTCCCAGGCACTCACAGTATGGCACTTCGTCCTTCCTGTGTTCCACAACATGTTGTCCTACCTGAGGCCTCCTGCATCCTCTCTTCCGCACGTTCCTGACCCAGAGTCTGACCTTGCTCATGCTGCCAGAATTACTGTCACTCGTCTCCTCGCTAGTGTCGTCACTGGCCCTGATTTTGAGTCTACTGCTGCGTTTGCCCTAATCACTGAGCTAGTCAACTTTGCAGATAGGAGTCGTCTGGACTACGTTCTGAGTCTTGTTACTGATTCTGAGTCTCTCTGTCCTCCGTCTGTGAGCCTGTCCTTAGCTGAGACGTCCTTGAGGACAAGTAGTTTGAGTTTGAGTGTCTTGCGGCCGCTTTACCTCGTTTCGCTTCCATAGTGCTTTGCCCCGAGGAAGACCCGGATGCACTTGACATCCCTACCCCGCGCTCTTACGCTGAGGCGATTGCGCGTGAATACTCCTCTCAGTGACAGGCAGCCATGGACGCACAGATGGCTTCCTAGAAGTCCACAGGCACCTACGTCGACGAGGTTCCTCCTCCTGGGGCGAACATAGTTGATGGCATGTGGATTTTGAGAGTGAAACGACCGCCGGGTTCTCCGCCTGCCTTCAAGGCGTGTTACGTTGCTCGAGGCTTCAGACAGTGATAAGGGGTTGACTTCTTACAGACCTTCTCCCCCACCCTGAAGATGACTACTCTTCGGGTATTGTTGCACGTTGCAGCACAGCGTAATTGTGAGCTACACTCCCTCGACTTCTCCACAGCTTTCTTGCAAGGCAGCCTTCACGAGGAGATCTGGCTGCGCCGCCTACCTGGCTTCACTGGGTCGATTCATCGCGGTACCCTGTGGAGCCTCCAGCGGCCAGTCTACGGTCTCTGCCAGGCGCCTTGCAAGTGGCACGATACAGTGAGGATGACACTTGCAGCTCTTGGGTTTGCTCCTTCATCTACTGACCCGTCGCTGTTTCTACGCACCGACACTACCCTGCCGTCGTTCTACGTTCTCGTGTACGCTGACGACTTGGTTTTTGCTACTGGTTACACGGAGACGCTGGCCCAAGTGAAGGCGGAGCTGTAGGAGTGACACACCTGCACTGACCTGGGTGAGCTGCGGAGCTATCTTGGCTTGCAGATCACCCGGGACTGAGCACGTCGCACCATCACCCTGACTGAGTCACACATGGTGCACCATGTTCTTCAGCGCTTTGGCTTCCAGTTCTCCTCGCCACAGCCCACTTCTCTGTCTACCGGCCACTCTCTCTCAGCTCCACCTTCGGACGGGTCCGTAGAGCCGAGTGGTCCGTACCCAGAGCTTGTGGGTTGCCTCATGTACCTAATGACATGCGTACCTAACCTCGCGTACCCTTTCAGCCTCCTGGCTCGCTACGTGGCTCCCGGTAGACATCGAATGGTGCACTGAGATGCTGCGAAGAGGGTACTGCGTTACTTGTGCAATACATCGGGCATGGGGCTCGTGCTTGGAGGACGGGGTTCAGTGGTACTCATAGGACACTCCAACGCTTCTTGGGCCGACGACCAGGCGACTCAGCGTTCGTCATAGGGTTACACCTTCAGTCTTGGCTCTGGTTCTGTCTCATGGCGGTCCACTCGTTCTTCTTCTGTGCTTGGTTCCAGCTGTGAGGTCGAGATCTACGCTGGGGCCATGGCTGCACAGAAGCTACGCTGGCTGACCTACTTGCTGACCAACTTGAGGGAGCGGCCTCATTCTCCTCTAGTTATTTACGTCGACAACAAGACAATGCTTGCCTTGTGTTGCGAGTAGAGACTGGATCACAGAACGAAGCACATTGCTCTTTGCTTCTTCCTTGCACGTGAGCTGCAGTAGCGTCGTCAGCAATCCCCATTCCATTCCCCCCCACCCGCCTCTCCTGTCCTCTCTCTTCACTGGTCTGTTTTCGATCAGCCGCCGTCTGTCCTTCCCTCCCCTCCCCCCCCCCCCCCTCCTATCCCGCCCCTTCCCGCCCCTCCCTCCGCACTAGCCTCTACTGCCCCCCCTTCCGACATCATCTCTGGCGCCTCCCCACCCGCCTCTTCCTCTTCAGCTCCCCTCCCTTCCTCACTTCCATCTTCCTCTCCACCTCCTTTGTCTGTTCCCATTCCCCCCCTTCCCCACGCCTTATTCGCTCCATGACTCGCGCACTTTCTAATTTTCAGCACTCTGCTCTTTTCACTCTTCTTTCTCCATCCCAGAATGTTACACTTCTTGAATATCGCTTTGAGGAGCTCTTCAACATTCATCCTGTTTCTCCTATCCTGTGTGTCACTGTTGGTGACTTTAGCAATTCTCCCACTCTTCTCGCTATCGACATCGCTGCCATTCCCACCCCTTAGTCCTACTCTGAGGCTGTGTCGGGCTTTCATGCCACTGAGTGGATGGGTGCCATCATTGCTGAGTGTGAGGCATTCACCAGAACTAATTCATACATTAACTCTGTCCCCCCGCCTGGCACCACCATTGTCAAAGGCAAATGGGTCTTCCGTGTCAAGCAGCTGCCCAGCGAACTTCCTGTCTTCAAGGCCCGCTACTGTGCCAAGGGGTTCACTCAGCGTGAAGGCATGGATATGCTTACTCCCCCACAGTCTCTCTCCCCCACCCTTCGCCTCCTTCTTGACTTAGGTGCTCGTTGGAATTGGGAGATCTATTCCATGGACGTTTCCAATGCTTTCCTCCAGGGCGAGCTGCATCAGCGCATTTTCCTTGAGCGCCCCGCTGGCTTTTCTCGCCCTTTCCCTCCAGGCACGGTTTAGGAATTGAAACGACCTGTGTATGACCTTAAACAGGCCCCACGCGAGTGGCACGCCAAGCTCGCCTCCACCCTTCACTCTCTTGGCTTCTCTACCACCACCTCCGACCCCGGTCTCTTCATTCGCAAATCCCCCCACAGGCTTTACATCCTTGCCTATGTGGACGATTTGGTGCTGCTTGCTGAGGACTCCGCCGATCTTGCAGCTGTCAAGAAAGCCCTGCAGGCGTGTCTCATGTGCAAGGACCTTGGCGAGCTTCGTCACTACCTCGGCATGGAGATCCGTCATGATCATGCTGCCCGCACCATCTCTCTCTCCTAGTCTTTCTACATCCAGTCCATCCTCTAGCGGTTTGAGATGTTGTAGGCTAAGCTGGTCTCCACCCCTCTTCCCGCTAACCATCAACTCAGTGCCCCTGCCGTCCCTGCTCCCTCCTCTAAGCTGCGGCCTTATCCTGAGCTCGTTGGATCTCTCATGTATGCTATGATGTGCACTCGTCCCGACCTTGCTTACCCCCTCAGTGTTCTCTCTCGCTTTGTTGGTCTAGGCCGCCACAATGACGTGCACTCGGCGGCTGTTAAGCGCGTCCTGTGCATTCTGCGCACCACCTCTGACCTTGCTCTCACTCTTGGTGGCTCTGTTCCTCCCGTTCTCTCCGGCTACAGTGACTCTTCCTACGCTGACTCCCGCCCTGATCGCTGCTCATCTCAGGGCTATGGTTTTACTCTTGGCAGTGGTCTCATAAGCTGGCGCTCTACTCGCTCACCCTCTGTCTGCCTTTCCACCTGCGAGGCTGAGTTGTACGCAGGCACCTTAGCAGCTCAGGAGGCTCGCTGGCTCTCCTTTCTCCTTGCTGAGCTTGGTCACTCTCAGTCCTCAGTGACGCTCTCCTATGACAGTGCGAGCATGATTCATCTCACTGAAAATCATGTCTATCACGCCCGCAGCAAGCATATCAAGGTCCGCTATTTCTTTGTGCGCGAGCTGGTGCAGTCTGGTTTCTTACGTCTTCGCAAGGTGGACGCTGCTGCCAACCTTGCTGACATTTTCACCAAGGCCCTTCTACGTGCGCCACACCGTTTCTATGTGCGCGAGCTTGGGCTCACGCGTCTTTCCACTTCTGGGGGTGTGCCGGTTCGCTAGGTGTTTTGCTCCAGAGCTTCACCTAGCCTGGGGGTGTGTTGGTGTTGGCTAGAGCTCGCTCTGGCCTTTATTTTGGTGTTCTTATATTATTTCTCCATGCTTAGAGAGAGTTACGCATTCAGGTTCATTTTAGGTTCATTTCGTAGTTGTTAGACAAACCGAACGCACCCTAGGTTCAATTAGGGTTTCCAACCCTCTCTCTTTTGTACCTCGACATTTCTCTTCCTAGTGCAACTTCTATCACCTCACCAAAATCTCTCACCATCCATGGCTTCTCTAACTTCAACACTCTTCCCCTACCGCACTGCCCCTCTCCCCCCCGTGCCGCTCTTCCTCGCACCAGTTCCTCCTCTGGTAGACCCCCCCCCCCCCCCCCCCTCAGGGTCCTGCCCCTTCAGGTGTGTCCCAGGTAGACCCTGTCAAGCCTCTCGAGGTAGCTGCCAACTCTGGTGCTGCTAGGGGTGCTGCGTCTGGGGGTGCTGAGCCTGAGCGTGTGGAGCCGGGGGGTGCTGAGCCTGAGCGTGCGCAGCCTGGGGGTGCTGAGCTTGGGGTTGCTGAGTATGAGGGTGCGAAGCCTGGGGGTGCTGAGCTTGGGGGTGCTAAGCCTGAGCGTGCGGAGCCTAGGGGTGCTGAGCTTGGGGGTGCTGAGCCTGAGCGTGCTACGCCTGGAGGTACTTCGTTTACTGGAGGTTCTCCGGGAGCCTAGGAGACTCTCTCTCCACCGCAGCTGCGCGAGTGGTTTGCTCGCCGCTGGAGCCTTCAGCGTGACGCTGCTAGAGCTGGGGGGGCTGCCGCTGGAGATCCTGGAGCTGGAGGCGCTGGAGCTGGAGGTACCGGAGGTGCTGGAGCTGCTGGTCCTGGAGGTGCTGGAGGTACTGGAGGTTCTCCGGGTGCCTCGTCCCGGCGGGAGCCTCTCTCTCCACCGCAGCTGCGCAAGTGGTTTGCTCGGCGTTGGAGTCTTCAGAGTGCCGCTGCTGGAGCTGGGGGGCCTTCCGCTGGAGGTCCTGGAGCTGTAGGCCTTGGACCTGCTGGTCCTGGAGGTGCTGGAGGTACTGGAGCCGTGGGTCCCGGAGGTGCTCGTACAGGAGGTACTGGAGCTGCTGGACCTGGTGGTGCTGCAGGTGCTGGAGCTGCTAGAGCTGGAGCTGCTGGAGGCATTAGAGCTGGAGCTGCTGGAGGTGCTGGAGCCGCTAGTCCTGGAGGTGCTGTAGGCATCGGCGCTGGAGGAGCTGGAGTTGCAGCTGCTAGAGGTACTGGAGCTGCTGGTCCCGGAGGTGCTCGTACTGGAGGTACTAGAGCTGCTGGAGCTGGAGGTGCTGCAGGCGTTGGAGCTGGAGGAGCTAGAGCTAGAGCTATTGGAGGTACTCGAGCTGCTGGAGCTGGAGGTGCTGCAGGCGTTAGAGCCGGAGGCACTAGAGCTGGAGCTGCTGGAGGTACTGGAGCTGCTGGAGCTGGAGGTGTTGCAGGTGTTGGAGCAGGAGGCACTGGAGCTAGTGCTGGAGGTCCTGGCCCGGGGGTGCTCGTGCTGTCGGTGCTGGTTCTGGAAGCACTCTATGGTCACGCCCGTACTTCGTTCCACTCCTTCAGCAGGTTCTTGGTCTCCCGCCTTCTACTGGCCTTCCTCCTCCCTTACTGTGTCCTCCGCCTGACCAGTCGCAGTCGCAATTACAGCCAGCCTCCCCAGTGCCTACTCCTTCTCCTTACACTGGGCCGACAGGAGGTCTTGCGGAGCGTCATGACCCTGAGCCTCATCCTGCGTCGCATGTTCGCGCTGTTCGCACTGTTCGCCGTGCTCCGCCTCCGCGTCCTCCTCCTATCCCCGGCACACACCAGATGGCACTCCGTCCTTCCTCTGTTCCATAGCATGTCCCTCTCGCGTCTCCTCCTGCGTCCTCTCTTCCTGACGTTGCTGACCCGCCGTCAGACCTTGCTTGTGCTACCAGTCCTACGGTCACATGTCTTCTAGCCACTGTTGTCACTGACCCTTCGTTTGAGTCCTCTGCTACGTCTGCCCTAGTTGCTGAGCTTGTTGACTTTGCTGCCGACTCTCGCCTCGACTACGCCGCTAGTCTAGTTGATGAGTATGAGTCTATCTGTCCTTCGTCCATCGGGGGTGAGTGTGCTCTTGGCACGGACGTCCTTGAGGACTGGCAGGAGGACTTTGAGTGTTTTGCAGCTGCTTTACCTCATCTCGTGTCCATGCTGATTGCACCTGAGGAAGACCCGGATGCACCAGACATCCCGACCCTGCACTCTTACGCAGAGGCGATAGAGGGTCCCTACTCCTCTCAGTGGCAGACAGCCATGGACGCAAGAGATGGCTTGCTAGAAGCCCATAGGCACCTACGTCGACGAGGTTCCCCCACCTAGGGCGAACATCGTCAGTGGCATGTGGAATTTCAGGGTGAAGCTGCCGCCAGGTTCTCCGCCTGTCTTCAAGGCACGCTACGTTGCACGAGGCTTCAGTCAGCGACAGGGAGTTGACTTCTTCAAGAATTTCTCCCCTACCCCAAAGATGACCACTCTTCGGGTTCTGCTGCACGTAGCCGCTCAGCGTGACTACGAGCTTCACTCTCTTGACTTCAGCACTGCTTTCCTACAGGGCAGCCTGCACAAGGAGATCTGGCTGCGCCGCCCACCTGGCTTCACTAGGTTGTTTCCTTCAGGTACCAAGTGGAACCTCAGGCGGCCAGTCTACGGTCTCCGCCAGGTGCCTCGCGAGTGGCACGACACACTGAGGACGACTCTTGTGGCTCTTGGGTTTGCTCCTTCTACTGCTGACCCGTCGCTGATTCTACGCACCGACACTTCGCTGCCGCCATTTTACATCCTCGTGTACGTCGAGGACTTGGTCTTCGCCACTGTTGACACGGCAGGACTGGCCCACGTGAAGTTGGAGCTGCAGAAGAGACACACGTGCACAGATCTGGGTGAGCTGCGCAGCTATCTTAGCTTGCGGATCACACAGGATAGAGCACAGCGCACCGTTTCCTTGACTCAGTCACACATAGTACAGCAGGTCCTTCAGCACTTCGATTTCTAGTACTCCTTGCCACAGTCCACTCCTCTGCCTACCGGTCACTCGCTCTCAGCTCTGCCTTCAGATGAGTCCGTAGAGCCGAGTGGCATGTATCCTAAGCTTGTAGGCTGCCTCATGTACCTGATGACCTGCACTCGACCTGACCTTACTTGCCGTCTTAGCATCATGGCATGCTATGTTTCGCCCAGGAGACATCAACGAGAGCACTAGGAGGCCGTTAAGAGGGTGATGCGCTACTTGTGCAGTACGTCGGGCATGGGGCTCGTGCTTGGAGGACGGGCTCAAGTTGTCCTCACTGGTCATGCAGATGCTTCTTAGGTTGACGACTTGGCTACGCAGCGGTTGTCACAGGGTTACACTTTCAGCCTTGGCTCCGGCTCTGTTTCGTGGCGGTCTACCCGCTCGTCTTTTGTTCTCAATTCCATTTGTGAGGCCGAGATCTACGCCACAGCGTACAGGAGTTACGCTGGCTCACCTACCTGCTGACCGCCTTGGGAGAGCCACCTCACTCTCCTCTAGTTCTGTACGTTAACAACAAGGCCATGATTGTCTTGTGTTAGGAGCACAGAACAAAGCACATCGCTCTGCGCTACTTCCTTGCCGAAGAGAGTTGCAGCAGCGTAGTCAGCTTGTTTACGTGGCCTCTCGGGCCAACACTGCTGATATCTTCACCAAGGCACTTCAGCCTTGTGATCATCAGCGTTTCTGTACTGTTCTAGGCCTTGTGCCTACTTGGCCTCACTTGCTCACTTCTTGACTTTACTTGTACTGTGATCTATATGCTTATACCTGCATGCTTACACTTGCTAGGTTGTGATCACTGTACTGCTTGTGCTTTTTTATATAACTCTGCATGTGAATTGGCCTTGTGGCCTTTTGCTTGTGCTCAGAATGCGTGGTGACTTCGTGATCCACCCTGAGCTTGCTTTGCTTTTCTTGACCGGTCTTGCGACCTCTTGTTCTCCCCCACTTTGCCTATGGGGGTGTGTCAAACTTATATGCTGCTTATTGTGTATGCTATAGTGGGGTAGCCCATATGGGGTACAACCAAATTAGGGTTTCCTACTTGTACCTATCTTGTTGCTAGTTCATTCATTCCTGCTGGTTAGCTTTTAACAGTGGCTTGGATCCCACCATTTTTGTCGCTTGTCACACTGAAACCAAGTGTGTCCCGGCCTTTGACAGTACCAACACCTTCCGCGAAGCCCGCTGAATCCGCCTCCATAGTCACGTGCACTTTCTCCCCTTCCTCTAGAATCAGCATTCCGTCTCCAATGGCCTTCTCCTCTAGTCTCTTGAAATCTTGTCACATTGCTTTTGTTTGTTACCCTCCTTTTCTTCTTGGCTCCGTCTGTTCCTCCAGCCGCCTCCTTGCACACTGTAGCCACTATTGCTGTTGTCCATATTGTTAATCTAATGCCTTCTGAAGTCCTCCTCCAGAATCTTATTTCTCACCCATTCAAGAGTCCAGAACCCTTAATTATGTGGGAGACTCAACACACTAGTTAACCGCAACCATGATTCGAGTAGTAGCGAGGGCATCCTCAAACACTTCGTCTGCTTGTGATACATTATTCCAGCCATAGTCAGCTTTGCGTACATATCGCGCATCTTGTCAAGTACAGGCTGCAGCAGCTCCCCTTCGCTTACACACAACGAAGCTATTTCCTGCTCCAACATTAGTGTAGCTGCAACTGACGTTGAGGCGTGCAGCTCCTTAAGCACGGCCCATGCTTTTGGTCCACATTCCGCCTCCTCTCGCAGATGCATTATATGGGCTCATTGATTAAGCTCCAAGCTCTGTGGTAGAAAACCTACCGACGCCCTTTCATCCCATTTGGCTTGTTGGTTAGGGTCTCTTGGTCTCTCTTCCTTCCCAATCGTCAACTTGAGCAGTCCTACCTGCCTGAAATACATGTCAAACTTATATGCTATAGTCTGTGTAGGCTGTAGTGGGGTAGTTCATATGGGGTACAACACTTTAGGATTTCCTACTTGTACTACTCATGCTGCTCAATGCATTCATTCCTCGTTCTTCATTTTCACATGGTTTCTGAGCAGGTTCCCTAGTGGGAACGATTTTTTTTTGAAGGGCCCACCACGATTTTTTTTCCTGCCCTGCCCGAAGCGTGCTGCCGCGCCTACCTGCCCCGTCGCGCGCCTCGCGCCTGCCTCACCTGCGTCGTCGAGCGCCTGCCCTGCTGTCGCGGCCCTGCCTACCTGCCGCCCGTCGCGGCTCTGCTTTGACGGCCGTCGTGGCCCTGCCCTGCCGCCCTACGTCGCGGCCCTGCCCTGCCGCCCTACGTCGCGGCCCCTGACCTGCAGCCGCCGTCGCGGCCCCAGACCCGCCGCCCCACGTCGCGGCCACTTCCCTGCAGCCGCCGTCGCGGCCCCTCCGTCACGGTCCCTCCGTCGCCGCCGTCGCGCCTGCTGCCGCCGTCGTGGCCCTGCTGCCGCAGTCGCACTTGCAGCCGCCGTTGCGACCGCCGCCATCGCGCCTGCTGCCGCCGTCGTGGCCCTGCTGCCGCCGTCGCGCCTGCAGCCGCCGTTGCAACCGCCGCCGTTGCAACCGCCGCCGTCGCCGCCACTGCGGCCCCACCATCGCGCCTGCTCTGCTCGCCCCTAGTGAGCACCTACCCTAAGCGCGCCATCTGCGCCTGCTTGCCGGCCGAGCCGCGCCGCTCAGCCGAGCCGCGCCGCTCCGCCGAGCCGCGCCACACCGCGCTACTGAGCCGCGCTGCCCTGACCGCGCTGCTCCTGCTGCTGCTGCTGTTTCTGCTGCTACTGCTACTACTGCTGCCACTGCTGCTACTGCCGCCATGGCTAGCCCTACGGTTCTTACCTTCGATGCTGAGGGACGTGCTGTTGACTTCAACGTCTGGTTAGATGATCTGCAGCTGTTTCTTTAGTGCGATAGCAAGGACGGAGTCTCGCTTTTTTATCTCACGGCTGGCACCTCTGCTGCACCTGCTGCCGATGCTGACAGTACAGTTCGCTCGTAGTGGACTACTCGTGACGCTGTTGCTCGCCTTACTGTTCGTAGTCACCTGCCTTTTGGTGAGCGCGCGCACTTTGGCCAGTACAAGACTGCTAAGTCTTTGTATGACGCTGTCGTAGCGCGCTACTCCTCCCCTACCACTGCTACCCTCAGCCGCCTCATGCTACCGTACCTGTTCCCTGACCTTTCTGCCTTTGCCATAGTCGCTGACCTCATTACTCACCTCTGCACTAGTGACACCCGCTACCGCGCTGCGCTTCCCTCCGAGTTCTGCGCCAAGAACCCGCCCCCCATGTACATCACCTTCTTCTATCTAGTCACCCGTCTCCCTGACTCCCTTTCTTCAGTCAGGGACCACTTTCTCTCCCTTTGCCCCACTACGCTCACCGTCGACCTGCTAGAGGAGCGTCTCACTACAGCTGAGAAGAGTATAGTTGCCGTAGGTGCTTCTCGCGGCGACCCCCCACGCCCCGTTCTTTGAGGGGTGTTCCCCCGTTCCCCTTCTGCCCTCTTTTGCTTCTGCTGCTGCTGTCAACCTCCTTGGCACCGAGGAGGTCGGGGCTGCGTCTGCTCCTAGTGGGAGGCGCCGCAACAGCAAGGGCAAAGGGGGCAAGGGTGGTGGAGGGGATGGCGGGGGCGGCGGTGGTGGAGGTGGAGGAGGCGGAGAGGGTGGGGGTGGAGGCAAGGGTGGTGGTGGGAGTGGGGGCAACGGTGGCGGCGGTGGAGGTGGTGGAGGCAGCGGCAGCGGTGGTGGAGGCAGCGGCAACGGCGGTGGAGGCGGTGGCGGCGGCGATGGAGGTGGCTGAGGCGGTGGTGCTGGTCGGGGTGGAGCTGCGCAGCGTGGAGGCATTGGAGGCAGCCAGCGCCAGCAGCAGCCGCGTTCCCGCGAGACCCCGTCGCCCCAGCAGCTTCGTGAGTGGTACGCTGGCCGTGGGAGGTCTGGGGGTGTTGGTCCCTGCACGTACGTTCTCCGCACCGACGGGCGCCGTGGGGAGACGTGTGGAGGCCCACATACGTCGCAGCGCTGTTTCGGTCGCCTGTCTGACGCATGGCGCGTACAGTTTCGTGACGCCGCTGAGCTCCCTAGCTGGGCTGATCTGCTTAGGCTGAATGTTGATATCTTTGCTCTTGACTATGATGCTATCCTTGCTGCCATGTATTCTGTGACTATTAGTGCTGAGGGTGACTATTACCTGTGTGTGCCGCCTGACCCAGGTATAGAGTCTACTGCTCTAGGTACTGGTGAGGCTGCTGCTTCAGGTGCTAGTGAGTCTGTTGCTCCAGGTGCTGGTGAGTCTGCTCTCTCTGGTACTGCGCCTGCTGAGGCCTTGCACACCTTCACACTTGACTCAGGTGCTTCTCGCTCTTTCTTTCGCGACAGCACCACACTCACGCCGCTCAGTCGGCCTGTTGCTGTCTCCCTGGCGGACCCCTCTGGGGGCCCCGTCCTTGCACACTCCTCCACGGTCCTGCCGTGTCCTGCTGTCCCGTCTGGCTCACTTTCAGGTCCCCACCTCCCTTCGTTCTCTACGAACTTGGAAAGTGGAGCTGCCCTCCAGGATGAGTGGGTTAACCAGTTCACTCCTGGAGGTCAGCGTGTGACCCACTGTACGTGCTCCCGGACCGGTCGGCACCTGGCCACGTTTACCCGAGCTCCTGGCTCGAGTCTGTACACACTGACTACTGTGTCCCCTCAGGTAGCTGCGTCTGCGTCTGCTTTTGCGCCAGGTCAGCTAGCGGCCCCCTGCTCGTGTCGTGCTTTGTCGCACCAGACCGTCCTGTGGCACAACCATCTTGGTCATCCCTTGGTGCAGCGCCTTCGCGGCATGCACCGCCGTGTCCTTGTCTCTGGTCTTCCCAAGGTTCTCCCTCCCCTCCCTCCCTCGCCTGCTCCTCCCTGTCTTCCTTGTGTCGAGGGGCGGCAGCGCGCCGCTCCTCACTCCTCCTCGTTTCCCACGACGACTGCTCCCCTGCAGACCCTGCACATGGACGTATGGGGCCCAGCCCGCGTCCGTGGACAGGACCGCGAGCGGTACTTTTTGCTGGTTGTTGACGACTACTCGCGCTACACCACAGTCTTCCCCTTGTGCACCAAGGGTGAGGTTCCTGATGTTTTGATCCCTTGGATCCGCGCTACCCGTCTCCAGCTCCGCGAGCAGTTCGGGACGGACTTGCTGCCCCACCCGTTCGAGCCAGAGCTGCTGCCCCACCCGTTCTAGTCACCTTACCCGAAATCAGCCTCCCCACCCGGTACTCTCCACCCCGCAGACCGCACAGAACCACACAGAACCGCGCAGAACCGCACTGAACTGCACAGATTCGCACAGAACCGCACCCGCTGCCCCACCCGTTCCAGCCAGAGCTGCTGCCCCACCCGTTCCAGTCACCTCACTCAGAATCAGCCGCCCCACCCGGTACTCTCCACCCCGCACAGCCGCACAGAACCGCACAGAACCGCGCAGAACCGCACTGAACTGCACAGAACTGCACAGAACCGCACCCGCTGCCCCACCTGTTCCAGCCAGAGCTGCTGCCCCACTTGTTCCAGTCACCTCACCCAGAATCAGCTGCCCCACCCGGTACTCTCCACCCCGCAGAACTGCACAGAACCGCACAGAACCGCGCAGAACCGCACTGAATAGCACACAACCGCACTGAACCGCACCCGCTGTCCCACATGTACCAGTAAGAGCGGCCCCCCCATGACCTGAATCCTCCCCCTTAAGAGCTGAAACCCGCCACTAGCAGCATCAGTAGCAGCAGTTTAGGCTGCCCCCAGCAAAACCAGAAGCAGCATAGGCTGCCCCAGCACTCGAGCAGCAGCTTAGGCTACCGCCAGCGCACCATCAGCAGCTTGGGCTGCCCCCAGTGCACCAGCAGCAGCTTAGGCTGCCCCCAGCAGAACCAGCAGCAGCATAGGCTGCCCCCAGCACACCAGTAGCAACTTAGGCTGCCCCCAGCAGAAACAGCAGCAGCATAGGGTCACATGGTGTGTACTAGAGTTCTACAGCAGCAGGGCCAGCCGCAGCACTCGCGGCAGTGGGGACCTACGGGTCCAAAGGGTGGAGCCCCCAGCAGTGGCTCAGCTAGCAGTGGGCGAGACGTCGGCCCCTGCGGGTACCGGGCCTTGACAGGCCCTAGTGCTGGCACCACCTGTTGGAGTCCTGACCACTCTGCGTCTAGCTGCTACCGTCGACTCGACGACCTCCACCGTGAGCGTTTTGGTCCTCACGCTATTACACCACACTGGCCCTCGCGACTTCGCCAGCGCACTGCTGCACCAGTTGAGTCTCACCTACCTGGTCTAGGACCGTTCCCGGCTGCACGAGTAGAGACATGTGTTTCGAGTCTTGGTGCGTGTGTTGTTTCCAGTCCAGGCGCCTCTGAGGGTCTTTGTGTAGGAGCTGCAGCTACCACTAGTTTACCAGCCTTTGTAGCTGGCTCGGGTGCGACCTCACAGACTGCACAACTTTCCTTCACCCTAGACTCTGGAGCGTCCAACTATTTCTTTCGCGACTGTACTGACCTCACACCACTGCGCTCTCTAGTCAATGTCACCTTGGCTGACCCCTCTATGTGACCTGTAGTTGCCCGCAGCACCACCACTCTCCCGTGTCCGGCGGCTCCCTCTGGGTTCCTCACAGGTTACTACACCCCCTCGTTCTCCAGGAACCTGGTAGGTGTCAGCCACCTCCACGACATAGGTGTAGTCACTACTTTCCCAGTCGACGAGCCTGTTGCCTCCTGTACAGTCGGTACCACTGGGGCCCCTCTGGCCACTTTTCACAGGGAGTCGGGCTCTGGTCTGTACTCACTACACACTAGGTCCCACCACACTTTGTCAGGTTAGGTCAGGTCAGGTCAGGTAGCTGCTGTGTCGTGTGAGTGTCGGTCCCTCACCCACCCGTCGGTCCTCTGGCACCACCGTCTAGGTCACCCGTCGTTTCTGTGTCTCAGTAGGATGGCACGTTACCGTCTGGTCTCAGGTCTCCCAGAGTCGCTTGCACCGCTTCCCCGCTCGCCTGCGCCGCTGTGCACTCCTTGCGTCGAGGGTCGGCAGAGCGCTGCCCCTCACTCCTCCTCGTTCCCCCCCCACCACGGCTCCCTTCCAGACCCTGCACTTGGACGTCTGGGGCCCCTCCCCGGTCCTTGGGCCACGTCAGGAGCGCTACTTCCTGATTGTGGTGGACGACTACTCCAGCTACACCATGGTCTTCCCCTTGCGACGAAAGGCCGACATGCCTACCGTCCTCGAGCCGTGGCTACTAGCGTGGGGTGGCGCCCAGGGCCTGTGTGGGCTTTGCCTACACTCGGATCGTGGTGGTGAGTTTTCTTCCACTCGCCTGGAGACATTCTGTCAGGGTCGGAGGATCATCCAGTCTTACATGCTACCAGCCTCACCGCAGCAAAACGGGGTAGCCGAGCGACGCATCAGCCTGGTCATGGAGGTTGCCCGGACCTCCATGTACCATGCCGGTGCCCCCCAGTTCTTGTGGCCTCAGGCAGTCCGCTACGCCGCGCACCAGCTCCGGTGAACCTGTGGCCTAGTGATGCACGGCCACGGGTGACGCCGGTCTCCCTTTGGACAGGTTCTCCGGGCGTAGCAGCTGACTTCCGTGTCTGGGGTTCTCTGGCTCACGTTCGCGCCCCTGGCGCGAACAAGTTGTCTCCGTGCACTCGTGCCTGCGTCTTCCTTGGCTTCCCGTTGGACACCTCCGGCTGGGTGTTCTACGACCCACTCACCTACCAGTTCTTCGCTTCTTAGGACGTCACGTTCGACGAGTCTGTGTGTTAGTACAGGAGTCGCCCCCACCAAGGTACTGAGGTCTTTTCCCCCCCGCTGTTCCTCACCCTTGAGCCCCCACCGGTCGCTCCGATAGCCCCCCCACCCTCGCGTCCTGCCCCGTCAGGTGTGTCGCACGTCACTCTGCAGTCTTCCCCCCCGCAGCGTCCAGTCCGTGCCGTGTCTGAGGGTGTGGGAGGTGCACTTGCGGAGGGTGAGGGTACTGGGGCTGCAGGAGCTGGTGGTGTCGGCTGTGGGGGTGCAGGGGTTGTGGGCGTGGAGGTCACTCCTGTGGAGGACACGGCAGCCTCGACTCGGCGGCCTCGCCCCGCCTCACCCCTTGGCTTCCCGTCCGTCCCGCGGTTTCCTCCTCGTTCTTCTCTGCGGCCGGTTGCTGCGGAGCCTTGGGGTGTTCCTGCGGGAGGTACTAGAGGCCCCGGGGGTGTCAGTGGTGGAGGTGCTGGTTTGGTGGGTGCTGGAGCTGGAGGCACTAGCACTGTGGCACCTACACCGCGCACTGTACGTTTCCTGACCCGTGAGCAGCGTCTCCTCAGGTTGGAGAGGGAGGAGCGTGAGCGGTTTGAGAGGGCACAGCAGCAGGAGCAGCAGCAGCAGCAGCACCAGCAGCAGCAGCAGCAGCAGCAGCAGCAGCAGCAGCAACAGCAGCAGCAGCCGCAACAGCAGCAGGAGAGAGTAGAGGAGGAGTAACAACCGCAGCAGGAGAGGGTAGAGGAGGAGTCACGACCGCACCAGGAGAGGGTAGAGCAGGAGTCCCGCCCGCAGCAGCAGGTGCAGTTACAGACACAGTAGGAGAGAGTAGAGGACCAGTCACGGCCGCACCAGGAGAGGGTAGAGCAGCAGTCCCACCCGCACCAGCAGGTGCAATTACAGACCCAGCAGGAGAGAGTAGAGGAGGATTCACGGCCGTAGCAGGAGAGGGTAGCACAAGAGTCCCGGTCGCAGCAGCGGGTGCAGCTGCAGTCGCAGCAGGAGAGGGCAGACGCGGAGCCACAGGAGCAGCAACAGGGGCCGGTACCGTCGCAGCAGACGCCAGAGGAGGCGGAGCAGCAGCGACTGCAACTACGTGACCTCCCCGACCCAGCACCTGCACGCTTTGTTCGTGGTCCCCTACCGTCCCCTCCTGTTCCCCCTGTTGAGTCCCTGTCCTCGTCCCAGTGGACTCGTCGTTCTCCCCTCAGTCGTGCTGTGTCCCCAGAGCGTCGTCGGTCCCGTTACCGTGCAGACGGTCCGTTCCACCTTGTTCTTCGCTCTCGTGTTCCACCTCCTCCTGTCCTTCCACAGCCTCCTGAGTCGTTCCTCACTGTGCTTCACGATCCGTTATCCGACTACCTTCGTGCCTCCCGTCCTGTCGTCTCCCGTGTTTTGTCCGCGTTGGTCACTCACCCGACTGCACCCCTGTCGTCTGTCTCAGCACTTGTTTGAGAAGAATAGAACGAGAATGAATGAACTATGAATGAAGTGAGTACATATAGGAAACCCTAATTCGGTTGTACCCCCTATGGGATACCCCACTATAGCCTACACAACAGCATAAGGAATATAACGTTCTGACACACCCCCATAGGCAAAGTGGGGGAGAACAAGGGGTCACAAGACCAGTCAAGCAAAACAGAGCAAGCTCAGGGTGGATCACAAAGTCACCACACAGTCCGAGCACAACGACAAGGCCACAAGGCCAGTTCACATGCAGGAGTACACACATATATATATAGAGCTAGACAAGCAAGAGCAGGTATATATATGTGACAGTACAAGCAAGGTCAAGAGGAGAGCAAGCGAGGCAAGACAGGTACAAGACCCAGCTGAGTGCAGAAGCGCTGATGGTCACAAGGCGCGAGTGCCTTGGTGAACACGTCAGCAGTGTTGGCCTCAGAGGCCACGTACGCAAGCCGCAACTGTCCACGCTGCTGTAGCTCACGAGCAAGGAAGTAGCGGAGAGCAATGTGCTTCGTTCTGTGCTCTAGGCGCTGCTCTCCACACAAGGCCAGCATGGCCTTGTTGTCTACGTACAGCACTGGAGGAGAACGAGGCGGCTCTCCAAGGTCAGTCAACAGGTAGGTGAGCCAGCGAAGCTCCTGTGCAGCCATGGCCCCGGCATAGATCTCAGCCTCACAACTGGAGCTGAGGACAGAAGACGAGCGAGTAGCCCGCCACGAGACAGAGCCGGAACCAAGACTGAAGGTGTAACCCTGTGACGACCGCTGCGTAGCCTGGTCGTCAGCCCAAGAAGCGTCCGCGTGCCCCGTAAGGACCACTGGACTCCGCCCTCCAAGCACTAGCCCCATGCCCGACGTACTGCACAGGTAGCGCAACACCCTCTTCGCTGCAGCCATGTGCTCTGGTCGGTGTCTCCCAGGAGCAACATAGCGTGCAAGAATGCTAAGAGGGTATGCAAGGTCAGGTCGTGTGCAGGTCATCAGGTACATGAGGCAGCCAACAAGCTCTGGGTACGGGCCACTCGACTCTACGGACTCATCCGAAGGCAGAGCTGAGAGCGAGTGGCGAGTAGACAGAGGAGTGGCCTGAGGCGAGGAGTACGTGAAGCCGAAGCGCTGAAGGACCTGCTGCACCATGTGTGACTGAGTCAAGGTAATGGTGCGGCGTGCTCTGTCCCGAGTGATCTGTAAGCCAAGATAGCTGCGCAGTTCACCCAGGTCTGTGCACGTGTGTCTCTTCAGCAGCTCGCACTTCACGTAGGCGAGTCCAGTAGTGTCCGCTGTGGCAAAGACCAAGTCGTCGACGTACACGAGGATGTAGAACGGGGGCAGAGAAGTGTCGGTGCGCAGAAACAGCGAAGGGTCAGCAGTAGAGGGAGCAAACCCAAGAGCCGCAAGCGTAGTCCTCAGTGTGTTGTGCCACTCACGCGGTGCCTGGCGGAGACCGTAGACTGGCCGTCGGAGGCTCCACTGTGTGCCAGGAAGGAAACGACCCAGTGAAGCCAGGTGGGCGGCGCAGCCAGATCTCCTCGTGCAGGCTACCCTGCAAGAAAGCAGTGCTGAAGTCAAGAGAGTAAAGCTCATAGTCGCGCAGAGCAGCTATGTGCAGCAGCACCCGAAGAGTGGTCATCTTCGGGGTGGGGGAGAAGGTCTGAAAGTAGTCAACTCCCTGCCGCTGACTGAAGCCACGAGCGACGTACCGCGCCTTCAAGACAGGTGGAGAGCCCGGCGGCCGCTTCACCCTGAAGATCCACATGCCACTGACGATGTTCGCCCCAGGAGGGGGAACCGCGTCAACGTAGGTGCCTGTGGACTTCCAGGAAGCCATCTCTGCATCCATAGCTGCCTGCCACTGAGAGGAGTAGGGACCCTCTACGGCCTCTGCGTAAGAGCGCGGAGTCGGGATGTCTAGTGCATCCGGGTCTCCCTCAGGGGCAAGCAGTACAGACGCGAGATGAGGTGAAGCAGTAGCCAGACACTGGAACTCCTCCTGCCTGTCCTCAAGGACGTCCGTGCCAAGAGCACACTCACCCCCGACGGACCGAGGACAGACAGACGCAGACTCAGCAACAAGACTGGCAGCGTAGTCTAGACGACAGTGAGCAGCAAAGTCGACGAGCTCAGCAACAAGCGCAGACGCAGCAGCGGACTCAAACGAGGGGTCAGTGACGACAGTAGCAAGAAGACGCGTGACAGTAGGACTGGCAGCGCGAAGAGAGTCTAACTCTGGGTTTGTAAGCGCAAGAAGAGAGGACTCAGGAGGAGAAGGCAAAGGGGCACGCAGAGGAGTAGTGGACGGACGCAGAGACATCCGGTGCGTGCCAGGGACAGGAGGAGGACGCTGACGCGAACCGCGACCACTAGCGCGAGCAGCACGAACAGGCGACGCGGGACGAGACGCAGGCTCACGACGCTCAACAAGACCTCCAGTAGGACCAGTGTAAGGAGAGGGAGCAGGAAGTGGGGAGGCGGGCTCTAACTGTGACTATGACTGGACAGGCGGTGGGCACTCTACAGGAGGAGAAAGACCAAGAACCTACTGCAGGAGCGGAACGAAGTACGGCCGAGGCCGCGCGGCGACTCCAGACACAGCAGGGACAGCACCAGCACCCTCAGCACCTCCGGCAGCACTAGCGCCAACAGCACCTCCAGCGGCAGGACCTCCAGCAGCACCCGCAGCACGACCACCGCCAGGATAGACAGCAGCAGTCTCAGCACCAGCACCCTCCGCAGCGCCAGCTCCACTAGGACCCGCACGCCCAGCAGCTCCGGGACCGGCGGCACCAGCACCCTCAGCGGCCGAAGAAGCTCCAGCTCCAGCAGCGCGCCTCCAGCGGCGAGCAAACCACTCGCGCAGCTCCTGTGGAGAGAGTGGTTCCCGCCGAGACGGAGCACCCAGAGAACCTCCAGGCCCAGCACCGCCAGACGCCACAAGGGGAGGTCCAGCGGCCGCAGGCTCCGCACCTCCAGGCCCAGCAGCCCCAGACGCAGCACCCCCAGGCTCAGCAGCTCCTTACGTAGCACCCCCAGACTCAGCAGCTCCAGACGCAGCACCCCCAGGCTCAGCAGCTCCCGACTTAGTACCCCAGGACTCAGCAGCCCTAGGCTCAGCACCCCCAGTCGCAGTACCCCTAGGCTCAGCACCCCCAGGCGCAGCACCCCCAGTCTCAGCACCCCTAGGCGCAGCACCCACGCGCACGGCACCCCCAGAGTCAGCACCCCCAGGCTCAGCACCCGCAGCAGTACCAGAGTCACCAGCAACCTCGACTGGCTTGACTGCGTCAACCTGGGACACACCTAAAGGGGCAGGACCTTGAGGGGGAAGGGGGTCTACCGGGGGGGCACCTGGCACAAGGAAGTGTGGCGGTGGGGGGAGGGAAGGAGTGCGGTAGGGGAAGAGACGGTAGAAGGGGACCGACTCGTCGAACGTGACGTCCTGGGAGGACAGAACACGACAAGAGGAGGGGTGGTAGAACTGCCACCCTGGGGCGTCAGGGGGGAAGCCCAGGAAGACACCGGGAGCAGCACGAGGAGACAGCTTGTCCGCAGACAAGTCGCGGACAAACGCCCGAGATCCCCAGACACGGAACGCAGACGCATCGCCGACCTTCCCCGTCCACAGCAGAGCTGGGGAGGTCTCCGGCCGGGAGACCCTGGGGTGAAGGTTGAGCTGATGCGCCGCGTACCGAACCGCAAACGGCCACAGAAAATGGGGGGCAGCCGCATGCATCATGGACGTACGAGCGACGTCCATGACCATGCCAATGCGGCGCTCAGCAATCCCATTTTGCTGTGGAGATTCCGGAAGCGTAAAGGTTTGGCGGATCCCCCGTGCACGACAGTAGGCCCGCGGAAGGCCAGAGGAGAACTCCCCACATCGGTCAGAGTGCAGACGCAGAACAGGAAAGTCCGAGCCGAAGCTCCTCCTGAGCTGGAGACGAGTTGCGCGGATCCAGTCGATCAGCACCTCAGTGACATCACCCTTGCTGCGCAAGGGGAAGACTGTGGTGTAACGCGAGTAGTCGTCAACCACCAGCAGGAAGTAGCGCTCGTGACCCTGCCCACGGACGCGGGGCGGGCCCCATACGTCCATGTGAAGTGTCTGCAGAGGAGCCTCTGTCGGGGGAAACTGGGAGGAGTGAGGAGCAGCCCGGAGGCGCCCCTCGATACAGGGGACACAGGAAGGTCCTGGTCCCGAAGGAAGGGGAGGGAGAGACCGGGGGAGACCAGAGACAAGGACACGGGAAGTCA